TCGTATGGATAAGAATATATATATATATATATATATATATATATAAAACAATTTTATGAAAAAAAATCTCTAGAATTTTTTATAGAGCGTTTCACTTTTGGAATTTTTTTTCTTTTCATGATGAGAAAATATTATTTTACTTTTATTTCTATCGAGATCACATCTATTTTGGCAATCAAGATGTAGCCTTCGTTGCTAACTGCGAAGGGGCATAGTCTCCTCACACTGCTTTTCCTTATCATCCAACCACCGATGAGGAAGGAGGGAGCATATCATTATTATCTCCCTGACAATCTCCCCTTGTCGTTGACTATGAGTGAGGGCGAAGGGAAGTGACTTACCCTTGCTCATAGCCTTCGTTGCTAGTCGAGTTGTTCTTCGTATTCTTGTGTGGTTCTTCGATCAAATTGTGTATTGGATATGGATTCAATGTTTTTTCATGGGGATTTAAAAGTCTATCAAGGATAGTATGTAGAGAAAACTTGTTCTTTTCTTGAAATCTTTCATTTGATTAAATTATCATTAATAATTAATTTTAAGTGGATGAAAAATTCAGATTTAAAGGAGTAAGATCAGTTGTGGAGGTTAAAATTAGCATTGTTTTTGAGAGATATTTGTTGGTGTCACAATCATCTTGACAAAATTACGCATGTTGTCTTGAGATGTACACATAGATGTTATCTACGAACTGTGCCTAATTAGCCGAGGGGTATGTTAGATATAGCAACATATTGACTAGCCAATCTCCCAAGTCCAACCAAGTCATTCCTACTCTAGTAATGATACCTTAAACAAATTAATGTTTATGTAGCATTCCTTGATTAAAGCCATTAAGTATGTTAAATTCATATACAAGTCATGAGAATGTAGAGCCCATCAATGCCAGACAAGAAGTACGTATCAGCGTACGTATAGAATGAGACAAACGCTGTCCAAGGAAAAGTATGCATGAGAATGCATGCAGACGCCAAAGTTGAATAAGGTGCAGGGGATGCAATTCCTTATGCGATAGAAACAAACCGAGGTCAAACACTGAGTCCTAATCACGGATGGACAAAGTAAATGCTGTTGAAATGGGAAGGGCGGAGAGAGAGAGAGAGAGGAGGGTCACATGAGCTTGTCGAGTCTAAGACACCAGTGCCAGTATTCAAAGGGAGGAATTGGAATTTCCAAGCTCGAAGAGACCATTAATTCGTTTGTTTATATATCTAATCCCACCTTCTCCCGTGACAATGTCTACTTCAAAATATGATCTGATTTTAAGACGTTAATTCGGATTCCGATTGTTCGATACATCAATATCTCGAATTTAATGTGGGTCCAACTGTCCATAAGTCTTATACAAACTATTTATAATATCCCGATTAGATACATTGTAAGTGAATAATACTAAGATTGACTTATAAAAAATTAATGAAGATACTAGGAATCGTCGTGAACTAGGAGTCGTCACAACGCAGGGGTTAGATCCGTAGCTGTCACGGTGAAAGATGTGGATTTGACTTGAAGGTAACAACTGGATTCCAGCAAATAATTTTCTTGGATCTACCCGACGACACCACAGCAAATATGTATTTTGCATCATCATTCACAGGTGGACCAAATCAAAACAGGAGGCTGTTCAACCAGCAGCGTTCTTAGCCACTCCATCATGTGCGATCTTATTCTGTAGTTTGTGAGGATCTCAATACGATCCGTAAGAACACAACCACCGCAGTAAGTTCTGGGTTTCACTGTCCATATAAAATATTGCTGCCAAATAACCCTCATCCATCTGCACAGCTGTTCATTTATATTATTATTTTTTTAAAAAAAAATATTTATTTACCCATAATTTATTTACTAATAATTTGTGGAATAAGATTATGATTTATGGAAGGTAAATAATGAGATTCTATTTTAGAATAAGGTTATTTTTGAGTTTTTCGTAAGGTTATTGCATTGGTGTTGACTTATAACGAGTAACATGATAACTGTAAGAGTGAGATCATCGATAGATGTTTTGGTGTAGATCATAAAAGACTTAATTGTGATAGATTCTATAAGAAAATAAAATTAAAATTATTTTTTTATCGATATAATCATTGAAAATAGAAGATATATTAAAATTATCTTTTTGTAAATCACTTTTTACGTCAATCCCGTGATGACATAAGGATAAATAAAATTATTTATTTTATTTTTAAAATTATAAAAATTTAATATAAAAAAATTTAAATATAATAATAATGTTACTAATAAGATAATAGGTAATTAACCCAATACAACCTACTAAATTTTTCTTTATGTTTTGCCACTTTCCATAAGAAAAGAAGGAAAATATAAATAATTCCACGCAGCAGCAGCAACCCTATCTCCCGTCACAACCCAACAAAAAGGATAACATGCACATATCCACTAGCCACCAATAACTTCTCCAATCCCCACATCCTAATGCAGTCAACTACTGTGTTCCCTCCCAGTGCAAAGATAAATCCAAATACAGATCATAAATTGAGCACAAACTCTCAGGTCTATTATCTGAAAATATCTTAATCTGATCTCTTTACAGTTTCTTTGCATAAAAATGCCTTCAGAGCAGCTTTTGCCTGAAATCGAAAATTTTCTTTCCTTCTTCCTTTTTTTTTGTTTTCTGTGTCTTAAGACAACATGGGATTTTTAGTACTCAGCGGTCATACACCCTTGCAACCGAGAACAGATGCAGCTCAGAGACGGTATCCGAATGAACGTGATGGTGGGGGAGACGAGAGGCGTGTTCTCCGGTGGAATCATCTCTTGTTTCGCGGAACCACAGCTGATGGTGACACCCCCCCTGACAACATGATTCTTCTGCACAACACACTGCTCGTGCCACAAGTCACTGACAACATGCAAATACTACATACAACGTATGCAGCAGTGATGTATTACCATGTTGGCCTTCTACAGTTGCACCGTTACCATCTCCCAAACAGCTGTGTATCTCCTCTGTGTGTGTTTCCTTGAGACGAGCATCACAATATATTAGGCTTGGCAGCAGTCCAAGGAGAAACATATAATCAATGTCGATGAGTTAAATGGGTATATATCTTCCTACCTTTTCTATCTCGGATAAAATAATATATTTCTGAGTTCTTTGATATGTAAATTATATTCGTTTGACATCTCATTCTTTTATATGTAAACTATATTCTTTTATACAATTTAAATCTATTTTCTTTTTTAGATGGTTGTGGTCAACATATAGCTCTTAGTTTCTTTTTAAAAATTTAACTCATTCTATTTTTTTTTGAATATTTACACTAATACATGTTATGATTCCTAAATCAATAATGTCGAGTCCAGAAACATGACATCAATTCAATCCAGAAACTTAATTAGTTTATTAGGTTATACATCAAACTCGATATATGTCATTCATTCTTTCTATCGTTATCAATATTAAGAGTATTCTTTAGTCGTCTTTCAATATTAATAGAGTAAGTTAGTGTTAAATTATGAAAACTTGACCTACAAGTACCTATGGCTCATACTTCTCTACGATATTATCTATAAAAAAATATATATTCGAGTTTTCCCAATCTAAGTTGTGTTGTTGGATCCATGTAAACTCGAAAATTTACAATTTATATGCCTAAAACTGATTATTGCTTTTTTTTAAGAAATCAATTTCTTCTAAACACCAAAATATTTAGATCAATTTTAGTTGTTTAATGTTCTCTTCAATTCACTAAGTAAATTAACTTTTCCTCATATTTAAGTAAATACAAAAATGTTGATATTTTTTTTGTTTCTTTTTTTATTAATGTTTCCAATACTCTATAGTACCGGTAATTAGTGCTGTATGCATGCATCTTTATAGTATACGACACCCATATTATACAGTGATCCGCATCGTATATGATGCTATGGATGATAATAAGGGACAATTTGATCGGTCAGCCATTGATGTATAGGTTTACAAGAAATTGTCCGCTTTGAGCGATGGGCATACCCGCATAATTTTGTAAGGACGGATTTAGTCCTTAGTTCTTATACTCCTCAATCAATATGAGATTAAATGATCTTATCCGATGACATAAATAAAAATAATCTAAATAAGTATAAGTCCAAGCTAGTCTCGAAAGTGTACCATCTCATCCAACTCAACAACTTATGAAGTGACCTAACAAAAGGGTCTGTTAATTTTTTTTTCTTGAAACAATATGAATCTTGAGATACAATTAAGTAAAAATAATAAGTAGCGCCGTCAAATCGTGACGTTCTAACAGCTGCTTGTTCCTGCAAAGTAGACCCACATGACCTAACTCTTAAATGGCATCCAACCAAGAATGAACATGTTCCGAAGACTTTTAAGAGTCGCTGCAAATCGCTTTGATCCAAATCTCCAAACATTGTTGTAAACAAAACGTATATACTTGCGGATTTGGTCGAGAAAACATCGATCGACATACACTGCTTGGCATCTCTTAATTCCTTCATTAAATCCTGCGAAAGACACCTTCATTTAACGTGAAGGTTATTTAATGCGGTGCTCGAAAGAATGCAGATGGCATTTCAACCAATAGGCTGAGATGGAACAACATAGCGCGGAGAGGGAGTCGAACAAAATAGAGGAGGGCTCGAATGGAGGAAACTTCGAAGGTTGGAAAACGTTGCCGTCGGACGGAGGCAAGTGTCAACGCTGATACCTCCTTTCTATCACGTTGTAAGAGCGGACAACTGTTTGACTGGTAACCCCTTCTGGACGCTCCCATCACAATTCATCCTCCTCTTCTTTCGTGATACTGTTCCTTTATCCCCACACAGCAGAGAGGGGGGATTATAAAATATGATCAGTGAATGCGGGGAATACTTGATGAAGTCTTCCTTCTACAATCATTGTTCTTTATTGTTTCCGCTACTTATCCTTCCACCCTTGTTATTAATAATGTTATTACTCTTGCCGGTCTTCTCTTTCCGTCTTTCTTCTTCCCTCATCTTCTAGGCCCCAATGGTTGTGTAGAAAGGAAGGGAGGGGGAGGGGGAGGGGAGAGGGCCGGGCATGGGGGAAGAGAAGGACAAGGAGGTGGTGGGTGGACACGAAGATGACGAGAGGAGCGTAGGGAGCAGCCGATCCCCAAGCCAAAAGAGGCCGCTGGAAGTCCTTGATCTCAACGAGGATGTGACGATCGACAGCAGCGAGGGCGAGGAGGAGGAGGAGGAGGAGGTGGCGGAGGACGGTGACGACGATGGTGACGGTGGGAGTTCGACAGAGGTGGCGAGAGGAGGGAGCTCTAGCAACAATAGCAGCACAGACAACAACTTCAACAACAAGAGTGGCGACACCACTGAGGGGAGCAGCGGAAGAGCTCCTACCGTGAGACAGTACGTACGTTCCAAATTGCCAAGGTTGCGGTGGACACCTGATCTCCACCTTGCCTTCGTCCATGCCGTGGAGAGGCTCGGTGGGCAAGAGAGTATGGCTCCTCCTCTACCTTCACCCAGTGTCCTTCCAATTCTCCTCATCCTCTCTTAGACTTCGAATCTAATTTCAAGAAAATAGTATCTTGACGATCATGAGCTAAAGGCATAGTTTCTCTTTATTCTTCTCACCTGTTAGATCTGCATGCATCTACCTTTTTGTGCCTGTATTCACTTCTTTGGACGGAACGGATGGTGCAGGAGCCACACCGAAGTTGGTTCTTCAGCTGATGAATGTGAGGGGGTTAAGCATAGCTCATGTAAAGAGTCACCTGCAGGTGAGGGAAAAAGGAATACTAGTGGGGCAGCCACCACAACAGTGTTTGTGGCGCATGCATGCCGAGAGATGGGGTTGTTTCCATGTTATGATGTTTGTGGCTCTCGATTAATTCCTTTATCTTCGCCTGTTTAGATGTATCGAAGCAAGAAGCTTGATGGATCGGGCCAAGAAAAGTCCGCCATTTCTTCAGGTTTGGCTTTTATCACCTCTTTCAATCTATCAAACAAGATCTGTGGTACCATATCTAAGATTACATTTGAGACACATCCTTTGAGAAGTCTCAATAATTGCTTCCTATTGTCGACTTCTGCCAAAATCTGACATCCTTCGTCATCACGAACTATCGCAGTTATGACACCCATGGATTTGCACCTGAAGGAACATCGCCTTCACGAGATGTTTTACCGAAGAACGGATTCATTCCAGCCCTTCAGATTGGATAATGGGGGTTTCTTCTCGTCGAGGAGCATCCATGAGCCGGATCAGTTCTGCAACGCTTTCTTCCATGGATCGCAGTTTCTGAAGGCGTCGGTTCTGAGAAGCAGCAACTTTGGGTATAGCAAAGCAACTGGGTACCGTCTTTTGGATCTCTAACCTCGCAAACCCTAAATTCTTGACTTTGTCTTTGATTTGCCTGTCAGCAGACACCGAGAATGGGAGTTCAATCGGCAAGCAGCAGCATGGGACAGTTGCTTACGAGATCAAGGTCCTTCCAAGGGACTGATACATGACATGATCTTTAGCCAAAAAAGGAAGCCATCAACATCCCATCTGTTCGATGTGCGGGATGCCATCAGCGGTAATGGGAATCCCCGCACTGTGCACCAATTCCTCGAGGGAAGAAGATGGTCACCTGCAGACATGATCGAAGCTCGTAAATGGGAAGGAAACCGAACTGGAAACTTTGGTAGCAGCGGATATCCCCTTGCTAAGGCTGTTCCCGCAGATCCAGTCTCCGGTAATACCCTGTTTGGATGGAAAGGCAATAGCAACATCTGCATCGACACTATGCAATCTAATTCACATGTACCGATTGTTGTCAACGATGAGCTTCCCCCAAACTCTCAACAACCCTTCCAAGTTGATGAGGTATCACATTCAACGCTGTTTGGTGGAATCATCATCTTTCTTTGGCATTCTAACCTCCTTGGGCTGGTCATCTTGGTGGTGCAGTCACGTCGGCGTCAGGATAAACCACTGCGCAACTCTGAAGATATGCATGCGAAAACAGAAACACCAATGAAAGATGCGAAGAAGATGAGGATGGCGACGACGACGAAGGATCTGACTCCCGACCTGCAGCTAAGCTTGAGATCGAGCTTGATCAATGATGGAGGATATGAGAAGAAGAGTCTTGAAACTGAACAAGTAAATAGTATGCTCTCACTTTCACTGTCTCCCTCTACTTCAATGCAGCGAGAAAAACATATGAAAGCTGAGATGCAGTTCTTAGAGATAGGTAGCAGCAAGAAGGCCGTTCTGGGGCTGAGTACTTTAGATCTGACCATGTCGATTAGAGCATCGGAGTGAGATCTTTCAAGTACTTGTTCCAAGGCCTTTAGGAACTTATAGCTTGCTGTTCATGAAAAATAAGGTTAAGACCAATGATTTAGTCTGAGTCCATTTAGTTAGCTGTATGAAGTTTACATTTGGTGAGTACAATGGCAATCTGAAATTGATATGTTATCATTCAAACCATTGACAACTATGGTACAGTCTCGATCATGTTTATGCCTTCTAAATCCTCCATTCTTGCCTGTTTCCATCATAGTTTTGTTTTGCTTCTTTCATCTTCTTGTTTCACTTGGAAAACAAGATGCATAGTATCTCTTAGTAAAATGCATCATAATGCTTCTTCGATATTGCCGTAGGAACTGTTTCTACAGTAACTTGTTTATCTGTGTTTGCAGTCGTCTTTCTTGACCACAGTGTTAAGGCTCTCTCTTGAAGAAACTTCTACTCAACCTAACATTCAATCAAGAGAGATGAAACTTAAAGAATGATTCATGTGTACCTCTACTAGCTGCTTGACCCCAAAGACTAGTCAAAATTCAACACAGTTAAATAAATAAAGAAAACTACAGAAAAAATGGCATTATTTTTATTGACTATCACTGAACAATTCAGTACATATTTTCCAGTTTGGCTTTTATCTTGTCCAGTTGAGAATATGATTTCACAATATAGCAAATGTCAAGGTCTAGGGATTTCATGGTGCCCATGGCTTTACCTATGTTTCACTGTGTTGCTTCTGATGCTTCCTTCTTTTCAGGATCTTCACCACTGAGCTTCTTTACATTATCGTTCTCTTATGCAACCATTAGATAGGAACAATCACATTTTTTTCATAATATTTAAAGATGTCATCTGCTTATTTCTAAACTTCAGGTTGTTGTTTTTCTTTTCCTGTATTTTTGAGAAGTTATTTTTTTGTACATGTTAGATCTTTGCATTTCTCAAAAAAAGATTTGAAGTGTCTTATATAAATTCTCAAAGAAAGTTCTCAAAGCATATGTGTCATAGTCCAACACGCGGACGAAAAAGAAGTAAATTAAAATCAAATGACACAACAGGATAGAGTGAATACAAGTAATAGATTCATAGTTTAAGATCATCACCTTCTTAAGATTTGTAGGAGTTCAGAAATGTTCATAAAAATTATGTAGGTAGTAATACTCAAGCCTATCAAAAGAAGCAGAGTACCTCTCTTTGATTTCCTAATTACAATGTGATTTATTGTTGGGTTCAAGCTCTAGTAAGAGATTCTTCTTCTACAGGTTCAGAGAAGAATAGATGCTCCTAGTAAAGTCATGGAAAAAGTCTAGTGATTGCTGATACCATATCATTATTACTGATGGTGAATCCTTACAGGGTTATACATCCAGTCATAGTTGGATTGAAGTTCAAGTAAGAGATCCTTCTTGTACAGGTTCAGAGAAGAACAGATGCTCTTAGTGAAGTAATGGGAAAAGTCCAGTGATTGTTGATTCCATGTCATTATTACTGGTAGTGAAACCTTACAGGGTTAGAATCCTAACTAAACAAATGCATTACTCTCTCCTTCTCTTCTTATTACTGTTCAATGACCAAAGTGGTTTTCAACTTCTTGTTTCTGTACTCAGTGATAATAAACTGAAAGATATCAATCAAGCCAAAGCATGCAAAGGGCAGCCAGAATTAACTCATTTGGATGGTCTATGGATGCATGAAGATGCAACCAATAATGGCATAGAGATAAGGTGCAACAATCCATTTGGAGTTCGATTAAATCTAATTTTGGAAAATGAAAATAAACGATCAAAGTCATTTGGAGCTTGATTAAATCTAATTTTGGTTCCACAGTTGAAAATTCCCACATATCACCACTATAAACCATCAAAGTCATTTGAACTCACTTGTGGAAAGCCAACATTTCAGCAGAAATTAGAATCTATCGAACTCTGTTAAGGAAATTTAAATTGAGATCAATTTTGATTTTGTCAAACCAGACAAAGCTGCTAATGAATCCAGGTCTTTAATTAGTTGCTAATGAATCAGCTTAGGTTATTGCAGGCTGCAAAACAAAGTCAATCAGATGTATTGTGCAGGGCATTTCAAACAGATCAAGTAAGAAAAGGTTTCACTTCCTCATATTTGACTTGTCTAGAAAATTTCTGCAGGCCATATTCAGAAAACCGAACCGGTTAACTTTGTCTAAAATTTGCATCTTTGAGTAGTTGTATCATCAGATTGGCTGACACTAAGGATCCTATTCAACTAGTATCATCCTTGAAAGAAAATAAAATGGCTAAGAAAACATCTGGATGCTATATTGATATGAAATTGAAAGAGACACAGCCTACATCAAGAGACTACTTAAACAAGTCAAAATTCCATGTAATTTGTCTTCCTGCGATGCAGTTGCTCTGCAGATGCAGAAACAAGAGTTCTGTAACTTAAAAGATGTGGATAGACACAAGAAGCGCTTGCGGCCTTTGGGATTGAGGCTTCAGAAGCAATGGTTGTTGATTTTGATCTAGTGGTTCTCATATGATTGGTTCCTGAGATACCATCTTATCGATCACTGAAAGTTCGATCTCCGACAGTAAAAAAAGCAAATAAAGTAATCTAACAAATATGACACACACACACATTGAAGATGAGATATCCAACTTCAGATACACTAGAAACGCAGTGCCTTTGAACTTGAATCATATAAATACGAGGTTTTTTCCCAGCAGCTAATGGCAAAACGAATGCCGAGACCTTCACAAAGAATGATTCATATACTCGATGAATTTATGCAATGTTGACATATGAAGCGTAATAGATAGAAGCTGCAGATGATTGAAAGGAAAAGAAAGGAAAGGAAGGGACACTATTATTACCTCCCTCGACTGAACTCCGCCGCCGCTGTGCGAGGCTTCCGAGAGTCCGCTCCGCCTCTTAGTGGACGAGGGGAAACGAAGCAGTTGAATCATCGACGGACAACACCAGAGGTAAAAGGACGCCCCATGGGCCTTCGCTGGGACAGAACCTTGTGTCACTGGTCGTAAGTACGTAGACTTCACATGACCCATATCAGCCGCTCATTCTTTAACCTCTCTACGTAACTATCAGAAATGGAGATAATGCAGAATTAACTTGGCATTTATCCTCCATGCTATAAAACACAAAAGGCTAAAGCAACAAACACGATTGAATCCGTCAATATAAGAAGATTTTGGAATGATTTGGTCCACCAAATACCATTTTTGAATGACATTGACTTTCCAACCTAACGATATGCATAGATTGTGGATGGACTAATACGAGCAAGCAAAGTAATTTACATGTTACCTTGCAAAGCACCCCACAGTCATGACGACTTTGCGCTGGACCCTCGTCGACATGACCATTAAATGCACCGGTGACATGGCTGCCGATCTTTTCCCTGGAGTGGTACGATACGTGACCTGAACACTTCAACACATTTGTCTTGTCCGTCCTGACTCTTCCTCTCCTCGATAGCAAAACTAGGAAGATACGACAACCCAGAACAGCCTAAATTGTGTTTTTACAATAAAAGAAAAGCAACGTAAATTATTGAATTTGAGATCCTGCCAATGGCACCATAGACGCCTGTCAATATAATAGCATACAATGCCATGGTATAAGATGATCCCTCCAAAACCGTCCATCACATGGTCTCCTATCATCGTAGCCGTCTGCCTGATTAGATCTCAATCATATGAACGGTTATGATGATAGAGACCACATGATGGACGGCTTTAGAGGGGTCATTCATAACCTTCCTATGCAGGGTAACCTGCACAGAATCCTCAGGATCCCGGGACGACCGCCCTGGACCCCGACAGCTCCCATTGCATTCAGATCCGCCAATCGACAGGGTTGCTTTGGATGCCTCAACGATTTCACCAACTCATCATCACCGCTATGCCACCTGCACTCGCTCCAACAAATACTAGCACCAATAGATCCGGCCAGCAGATTATTGTTGAATCTTCCTCGTACCTAATGGCAGCGACGTCTCCTCTTCTCCTCCGCCTCCTCTTTCTTTCCCTAACCTTCCACTTTGGTATCTCTGGCGCTCATCTCCACAGATCCAAACTCACCGCTTCAGAGGATGAGCAGATCTCTGTAGCGACGACGGCGGCGGCGGCGGGGCTTCCGCCCTTCTCCCCCACCACTTTCTTCGAGGTCACGAAGCCCGTCCCTCTCCCGCGAGGCGACGAACCGGCCTGCTCTACCCTCGTCCTCCAGCACGACTTTGGCTTCACGTACGGTAAGCCCCCCGTCACCGCCTCCTACCGCCCCCCTTGCGCCCGGCTCCGCCGCGGCCGCGTCCCCTCGCGCGCTGTCCTCGAGTGGTCCGCCACCTGCCAGGGCCGCCAGTTCGACCGCATCTTCGGCGTCTGGCTCGGCGGCGTCGAGCTCCTCCGCAGCTGCACCGCTGAGCCCCGCGCCACCGGCATAGTCTGGACCGTGCGCAAGGACGTCACCCGTTACGCCGCCCTCTTCGCCCGCCCACAGACCCTCGCTGTCTACCTCGGCAACCTGGTCGACCAAACCTACACGGGCGTCTACCACGTCAACGTCTCCCTCCACTTTTTCTTCGACTCCTCCCGCCACCACCATCATCCCCGCGCCTCCGCGGCCGGCAACCGAGTGCCCGGGTTCGCATCCCCTGCCAATCTGGTCCTGCCGATCTCCCGGAGCCTGCCGCTGAACGACGGATTGTGGTTCTTGGTTCAGAACTCCACCGACATCCAGTCGACAAGGCTCGCCATTCCGACGAACACCTACCGTGCGGTGCTCGAGGTCTATGTCTCTTTCCACTCAGCAGATGAGTTCTGGTACACCAATCCCCCCGATGCCTACATATCCGAGAACAACCTCACCGATCTCCCCGGGAATGGGCCCTTCAGGGAGGTCACCGCCAGGCTAGACGGCGAGATCGTCGGCGCCATTTGGCCGTTCACCGTGATCTATACTGGCGGAGTAAACCCCCTGCTGTGGAGGCCCATTTCCGGCATCGGATCGTTCGATCTTCCATCTTACAGTATCGAGATTACCCCCTTCCTGGGGAAGATTTTGGATGGGAAGCCTCATGAATTCGGTTTCGGAGTGACGGACGCTTTGAATGTCTGGTTCATCGATGCCAATTTGCATCTCTGGTTGGATGCCAAGAGCTCGTATACCTTGGGAAGTCTGATCAAGTACGAAGCA